ACTGGCCTCTTTGCTCCTATTCACCTGAAAAACAATAAATAAGTAATATACAGAAGCCAACAACACTTTTGGCAGTAGAGAGGTAATATATTTCACTGTCAAACACACACCTTTACTCCAGGATTGCAGAGTATCTTTGAATATGAAAGTAGCCTTGCAGGTTCTAAATACGATCTCCAATGCAAGGAGAAAGGAAGGGTACAATTTCTTCAAGAGTTCTGAAGTTCCAAAATTTGTATGAATTACATAATATTTGTACAAGCTGTATAATCACAGAATGGCTTAGGTTGGAAGGGACCTAAAAGACCATCTAGTTCCAACTCCCCAGCCATAGGCAGGGTTGCCAAACACTAGATCAGGCTGCCCAGGACCCAACTCAACCTGGCCTTCAGAGATGAGGCATCCTCAACTTCTCTGGGCAACCTGTTCCAGTTCCAGTTTTTTACCCTCTCGGTAAGAAATTTCTTTCTAACATCTAAGCTAAATCTACCCTCTTTTAGTTTAAAGCCATTTCTCCTTGTCCTTTTGCCATCAGACCACGTAAAAAGCTGTACCCTTCCCGCTTGTAAGCTCCATTCAAGTACTGGAAGGCTGCAATGAGCTCTTCCCAGAGCCTTGTCTTCCCACAACTAAACAAGTCCAGCTCAACCTTTCTTCATAGGAGACGCACTCCAGCTCTTTGTGGAACCAGCTCCAACAGCTCTGCATCCTTCCTGTACTGAGGGCCCCAGGCTTGGAAACATTATTCCATACGGGGCCTCACAAGGGCAGAGTAGAGGAGGAAAATCACCTCCCTCTACCTCCAACCCCCAGGTTGTTTTCCTCAGAACTTCTCTCAATGAGTTCCTCTCCCATTTGATACTCATATCTGGGATTGCCTCAGCCCAGGTGTAACACTTTCCACCTGGCCTTGTTAAACCTCACTGGATTCTCATATGACTACTTTTCAAGTGTCCAGGTCCTTCTGTATCGTGTCCCTTCCATCTATTACATCAGCTGCACCCCTCAGCTTATTGTCATCAGTATGAGTAATGACAACCTTCCCAAGATACAACAAAAAATGTGCTTAATCATACGATAAAATATACTACATGTAATTACATGGCAATTTTTTTCTAGTTAGCACTGGCTTTCCACATTTAAGTAGATCCCTCTGTCACACTGTATGCAGTTCCATTTGGTCTCCCATTTCCTTTGCGTTCTCCAACTAAACTGTAAGTGTCTCATTTACAGATGCATAAATGGAAGGGAAGCTCACTGAGCTCTAACATCCCTCCAGAAAGAAGGATGACTTTTGCCACTGTAATCTTCGAGTAAATTGCATAAAGCTGTTAACATTTTTATAGGTAACTGCATAATATTATTGCATAAATGAATTTGACAGATTAATGTATTTTACACAACTTCCCTAGGAAACAATATAAGTAGTATCAATAAATGAAAAGCAAAGTACTTCATTATGTTTTATAATTTATAATTTATATTTATATTAAAATCTGTGACCCATCATACTGTTGTAGACGTATAAACCAATTTTGAATGGCAAGCAGGTTGAAATAAATTTCTAAAAACTTTTCTCCTGGCATCTCACTGAAGTAGGAAGGACGACACAATAATCCTTGCCCCTTGGAGGTAATATCATGAATTGTACATTTCTTGAAACTGTACCCTGTTTTTTTGTTTTTTGTGTGTGTGTGTGTGTGTTTTTTGTTGTTTTTTTTTCCAAGAATGTCAATGAATTAACAATACATAAATAAATCTTCCTTGAATAATTTAGTCAGCTTTAGTTGATGGCCTGATTCCAAACTCACAGAAGTTTCGCACTGATATAAGCAAAGGTTACAAAGGTAGTGTTCCCAATTTACAAAAACCTTCAGGTCTCATCTGGTACTTATTTACCTTGCAAAGCCTTACTCTTTTGGGTCTAGCACTACAAAACACTTCTGTACAGAAGACATGGGAAGTTACTCTGACTTAACACTGAAACATTTTGATATTCATCACTGTCTGTGGGATTCACCTATTTGTCCTTACTCATGCAAGGAGAGTTTGTTTTTTTAGAAATCCCCTATGCAGTTAAGCCATTTTTACTGACTGGGAATTAAACACCTCTCTCCAATATTTTCAATCCAGAGAACAATACACTGACAAAATAAACTGCCTTAAAAATTATCTTTAGAAAAAGAATGAAACTAACTTCTTGGTTTTTACTTGTTCAAGTACTTAGGCAATGCTAAACAATGCTAAAAATATGTCCTGTTTATAACTGTAATGTAGTCTGTCAACCATTACTATTTCACTACTAACTTAAGTAAGGTCACTGTTATTGCTGTTGTTGCTTATATACATACAATTTATTTAATCAGGAGGTTAATAGAAATCTTCTGCTTAATTTAAGCTTTATTCCTGATTTCTTCATGTTGTTGTGAATCTTTGTATCATTCATGTAGAGAGGAAGTAGCTTGGGATGTGAATGAGAGGAGGTAGTTGTCATATGTAATGCAACTTGTCTCCTTCTAGCTGAAAGACTTTTTCTGGAGTTCCTGCTTTTGGGAGTTTGTTGAGCCAAACCTCTGGTTAGTGAAGCAGGAAGTCCTAACTTGACACTTTAAAATCAGGAATTTTACTTATGATCTTGATCAATGTAAGAGTTGCTTCAAAGCTAAGCATTAAAACCCTGAAAACCCTGAAAATCATTATGATTTTGATGTTTATTTTTTTTGTTTGTTTGTTTTTATTTGTTTTTGTTTTTTTTAATACTGACTCTGACTGTTGGATTTGCCTTTTAATTCTCAGATAGTATTGCTTCTTTTCACTACTTCATACAGTGGACTCCCCTCCCAGCTTACTAGAGATAGAACCAGAGTTAATGGCTTCAAGTTGCACCAGAGGAGATTCTGGTTGTATGTTGGGAAAAATGTATTCCCTGAAAGAGTAGTCAAGCTTTGGAACAGGCTGCATAGGGAAGTGTTGGAGTCACCATCACTAAAGATGTTAAAAAAGAGTGTAGATGTGGCACTGAGGGACATGGATTAGTGGATACGGTGGTGATGGATTGATGGTTGGACTTAATCATCTTTGAGGTCTTTTTAATGGTTTTAAGACTTTAACGGTTTTATGACTCTATGATTTAAATGTAAGAAGTTATTCACATTTGGACAAAATACTTTTGAGAAGTTTAATGTAAATCGAGTTCAGTGTTTTGGACTCCCGGCATGTTATACTTCAGTATGGCTTTAATTACAGTATATTTGATGTAAGTTTGGTGTGCACTGGTGTCTTTAATTGGTATTGACATTAATTTGTTATTAAAATTGGCATCCAAGCACATCTGAAGTACAGTGGTGTTTTAAATAATTACTAATTACTTAGGGTGAGTTTGAACATCATGTTTTCCTGCTGCTTAAATAAAACACCAGCAGGCAATCATTGCAGGCATGGGAGTAGCTGTGCATTGAGGCTCTTGTCCCCAGCACTCTGCCATCAGCATGCATGTTAAGATATGCCCTCGATTTTGAGTGTTATCAGTAAAATTATCCTGAGCACTACTTTTGGCTTCCAACCCCACTCCAACAATGCATCAATGAGACAGTAAACCCAATTCCAGGGCTCCAATTACTGCTTTAAAAAAAAATAATGAAAATACTGCAGCTACATGGCCAAATACTGACATGCTAAAAACTTATGCTGCTCGCTTAAGATGTACTTAAAAAGTTGTCAGCAGGCTTGATGCTGGGATCAGGTGTTGACCTGACACTGGCTCATGCATCTGTAGAACAACGTGATGTGCACGGATCTGTGGAACAAAAGTGTCACAGAGGCGATGCATTCCCTTCCACACAGACCCAGATGGCACTTGTGGTGCTCAGTGGGTTGGTGGCACATGTTAACTGCTGCACGGCCTGACTGAATTGGGTAGAATATCGCCTAACACCGACCCTTCCATGTCGGTTTAAAGCTTTATTTAGTCGCCGAGCAGAGGCCGTGGTGCTATCCCGTGGCAGCAGATCTGCTCCAACACAGGTGGGCAGGGAGCACCGTGCCCCAGAAGTTGCGCTCCTCTCTCTGCTGCGGTCCCACTGGAACACGGGGCCCGCACTGAGGGGATCCTTCACAGCCGCTTCCAAGGGCTGTCCCGGCGGCTGAGGGAGAGGCGGGGAGAGAGAAAATGGCGGGAGAAAGCGGGGAGAAAAGTCTTCCTCCCCAGCAGCGAGGAGCTGCGTACCCCTCAGCCCCGGGGGACTCCCGGGAGGCGGAGAGGGAAGCTGCCCCACCGATAGCAGCCCAACCCCATCCCCCACGCGCAGGCCCTCGCACTTCGTTGTTGCCACCCCCACCGCGGCGGCGGCGGCGGGGCGGGCAGAGCGCATGCGCGGTTCCGAAGCCGCCACCTCCCCCCGTCCTCTCCTGCTCCATCCGGGTACCGCCGCATTAGCATGAAGAGCCGCCGCACAACTTTTTTTCCCCAGGCAAAGTGAAATCAAGGCGCGCGCGCGCCGCGAGGAAATATAGTCCCTCCCGTTCGCAGCCCCTCCTCTCCCCATTGGCGGCGGGGCGGCGGGGGGCGGTGGCACGGCGCGGGGCGGAGCGGGGGCGGTGGGAGGAAGGGGGGTGGGGGGGGTCGGGGGGAGCGGGCGGGGGCAGCGGGGGAGGGGCCCCCCTAGTTTGGCGGAAAGTGAGTGATGAGTCTGTGTCCCCAGCAAAGAAGCAACGAACTTGCTTTGCAGCCTGAGTAGTAGTTGTTTCTTTCGGTTGTTGTTGTCGCTTTTTTTTTTTTTTTT